AATAGTAAGTTTAGTCGCTTACAGATACGTTGCTAAAAAGTCTCTGGGCAGCACAAATAGCAGTTCAGCCTTGGTGGGAAGTTAAATGTTTTAAATTTTAGCTCCCCATTGCACTCTCTCATGTGTCTGGGCTGTTCTGATGGAGGAATAAGTCTCATTCATTCATCAGTCAATATTTGCTGATGACTGACCCCATGTATGCCTTTGTACCATGAGAGGGGTGTCAAGAGTCCAGTGTGCATGACTTGACCAGACAGAAAGGCTCTCAGAGTCAGAAACAGCCCTTCCCTCGGCCTTGGACCCCCTGTGGTGACTAGAACACCCTCCCCACGTGGCTTTCAGCCCTCTTCACCCGCTAAAGGATGGGCTGGTTCTGAGGGCTGGTGCAGTCAGTGTCAAGGGCCAACACAGGTATTGTTGTACTTATCCTATCTTAATTAAAATTACAATTTTATTCATGTATTATTATGTACTAATACTGTGTATTAGTATGGTACTGCTGACCATGACAAGCTCCCTTTCGGCTCAGCAAAGCAGTTTAGGCACCGGCTGGAGAGGGCGCCAACACCCTACTGCCTGTGTGGGACTCGGTCTCTCATGGATCCATTCTCTCATCTTCCTTTTCAGCCACCTGTATGTTTCTCCCATAAATACTCATGGTGCCTAATTTATGCAGGCACCAACTATGCCAGCTATGGAATATGTCATGTAAAATAAGACAGGCTCCCTGCCCACAGGAAACTTAGACAGGAGGATTGAATTCTAAGAGGGAATGAGGCCTCTGAGGACAGATAACACACTAACAACACACAGCCTCAAATACATTATTTCTAGGCTCTGAGTACACGTCCTGTCTCTCACCAAACTGACATGCAGTGTTATCAGTGGTATGCTGATAAAGATTGGCTCTCAAAATAAACAAACAAACAAACAAATAAATAATAGGGCTGGGGCTGTGGCTCAGTGGCAAAGCGCTTGCCTAGCACGTGTGAGGCACTGGTTTTGATCCCCAGCACCACGTAAAAAACTAAATAACAAAATAAACTAAAAATATATACATAAAAAAATAAAGTTGTAGCCTTTGCTAATTTCCACAGTGTAAATAATGCAGCTGTGGACAATTCCAAGCCACCATTGCAAGGGTGCTGAGTGCAGATTTGGGAAGAGGGAAAGAGTTTGGGCAGAAGAGAAGCACATTGCTTATTTGTGTTTCCCCATACAGATATAATAGGAGTAAATAATTTCAAGGGCATAAATAATAGTAAGATAATTAGGCCAGGTGAGTTTTGAGGATTTATTACTTTTGTTTTAGTATAATCAGTTAGTTGTAAATTTATGTAATATCATTTTTAATAATGACTGCAGTTTCAAAATTGCCTGGAGATTCAGTAATCCCCTCTCAGGCCTAGCTGGTTCTAGGATGCCTCTGTTCCAGGCTCAGTCATCATATACTGTGTGTGGTCTTTAGAGCCAGTGTACCTCCCCCGCTGTTCCATAGACTGTGACTCCTGTGTCTTTGTGTCCTCAGAGCCTCACTCTCCAAAGAGCATCTAGTGCTATTATTAATTCATTGAGTTAGAAGGCTTCCTCTGTATTTGTGTATGAAGGTCCTTTATTTTTGAACATTATTTAAGCCTGAGGTTGAATTTTTGTTTTTGTACAGGACAGAAAGCAGATGAGCACATCCATTATCAGATGGGCTCTTTGCAAAGCCTTTGTACAAATAATGCATGTTACAGATGCTTATGGTCTTGAATCATTAGCATAACATATGTTCCCACTCAAAAATGGCAAATGTGCCTCTGTTCAAAATAGCTCATGCCTTAGCGTTCACATCCTTGTCTTTTGCTCAGGTTCTGACTATGGCGGGAGCACAAGTAAGTCCACGCCAAAGGATGTGTTCTGATGCCAATCACTCTGGCATGAACCAGACCAGACTGTTAGGAGTGGGTGGCATTATTTCTGTCATTGTCATGGTCACCATTGCCCTGTCTTCATCATCATTACCAACAAATACTGTTTATTGGGGGCCATCGTGTGCATCTCACTGTGACAGATACCATGCAAATCAAGTGGCATTCGAACCATCCCTTGAAGGTCACAGCTCAGCACAGAAGCAAACGCTTTGGAAAACAAATTCCTGCAATTTCAGTGCAGGAGACAGGACATGGTGATGGGGGTGGGACCTGAGGAGAGGGATGTTGCATCTGGGCAGGGAAAGAGAGTGGCCTGAGTGGGGAAGAGGCAGGGAGGCAGTAGGAGAGTCTCAGGAGGATCCAGTAGTAGAGTGTGAGTGGAGCAGAGAGGAGATGGGCTCAGCCAGGGAGGAAGATGAGGGATGGAGAAGGAGGGAGGGAGGGAGACAGAGGAGCGAGGGGAGAGAGAGAGAGAGAGAGGAGGAGGAACAAAGAGAGAGGAGGGAGGGAGAGAGAAAGAGTGAGGGAGAGAGAGAGAGACAGGGACAGAGAGAGGGAGAGGCAGGGAGAGAGAGAGAGACAGAGAGAGAAGAGAAATGATGGCGAATAGAGAAAGTACTCCGGCCAGGCAGAAGACAAAGCAAAGCATAGAAGTAGGCAGGTGGATGAGTGGGCTCTGGGGAGGGAGCAAGCGGGTGAGGGGCATCTTCAAGGTCTGTGGGCACCTCTTCCCCCCTCCTTTGTGCCCTCTGTCCTGCTTCCACTACCTAGATTTGGGATGAAGGTCTAAGTGAGTTGGAAGAGACCAGGCAGCTACTGAACCCCACCCCATGGGGTAGGTGTGGATTAACCCTGGGGGATTCGGGGGAGGTCTCCCCTCAGCCGGCCAGACTGGGGACATCAGGATGTCCCAGACTTGTACTCTCTTCCAGAATCAGTCTAGAATCTTTCCCCAGGCAGGACACTGCTTGAAAACCCCCGGAGGGTGGTGCAGTGTGGACTTTCATTTTTCAAGAGATTTTTATTAAAAAAAGAAAAACCTGACTTTGAGGGTCTATACTACCATGGATAGCCCCACCACCAGCAAATAAAGCTCGGGTTTTGTAGCCCCTGTTTAATTTACTGTCTATTGATGTTTAAGATCCCAGAGACAACAAAAGTTCATTTCATTTCTCTAGCATTAATTTACTTCATTTTTCTGGGGAGTCAGAGAGTTAATTTAGAAACCCAATGCTATCTTAGGGCACAAGAGAATTTCTGTTAAAGTGAAAATTGCTGCTTTTTTTTCTTTCTCTCCATGAATAGATGAAAACATTACAAAGGAGGAATACATTTTCTTCTGAAAGATGAGCTATTTGACGACTACGGGCTGTTCCCTTTGATACAGAAATCAGTGCTTTGATTTATTGTCATTAGGCTGTCTTCTTGCTCTGCCGAGCCAGGAGCAATCAAAGCCAGGGAAGTAAATGGCACTATTTTTCCTGTAGCCATTCGGTAATTTCCCACGAGAATTTGGAATCACAGTTCTTTGGGGCTGATGTTTCATCTGCCCTGTAGCCTCAGAAAGCCTCCAAGAGGCCACTAAGATGGTGGTCTATGGTAGAGCTGAAGGCAGGGGTAGAAAGAGGAAGCCCTGGGGTCTCCCCTGTCCTCCGGGACTGGCAATGCTACTTCTTTCCTTGGCTCTGTGCTTTCTCACATTGCCTGATGTCCCCACCTGTGATTGCAAGTGGAACTTAATCTCTCTAACCCTCCGGCTTTTGCTCTATTCTCCAGAGTGAGTACATCAGCTCTTTAGTTTTTAGTAGGTGAAGAGCCTCATTCGGTCAGTCGAGCTCCCAGGATGCTCTGGGGCATCTCTCTGTTGGGGAACACCTGGGATGGCTGCACTGGACTGGGGATTGTGAGGGATGACCCATGCTCCCCTTCCATTCCCAGATCCTGCAGTGGTGATGGGCAGCTGAGGACCTCATGGTCCTTGCTAAGATAGTGGGCTTGGTTTTCCTTGGGCTTCATTTTCCCTGTCTCCTCCCCCAGCCTCTTTCCTCCTGTGTTCTGTGAGACCAGCCTTCTCACCTCCTGAGTAGTTTCAAACATGTCCACGCAGTGGGTCTTCAGGCAGTTAGCATTTGGGGGTTGCGCCTTTGCTTAGAGACCATATTTGCATGCAATCCTGTTTTCCTTGGGTTATAAACTATAGGTCAGTATATTTATCCAAGTATCCAAGAGGCCTTTGGATTCACTCTTGGCCTGGGTGTTCCATGACCACTTGTCATTACTGTCCTCAGGAATGGCTTTGGATGGGGTCACGGCTCTTTTAGGCAGACTCCAGCTCCTGTGCCTCTTCCCCACCCTGTGACTACTTTCTAAACCAAAGTCACAGAAACGATCCTGTAGTGGGGACAGCATCCGCGGGGTGTCAGAACTGAAGTTGGGGGTGGGAGCGTGGAGAAACAGATCTTGGGCATCAGAACAAGGTGTGGGGAGAGCAGGGCCGTGCCTGCCTGGCTTGGGGCCTGTCACTAACTAGCAGGCTCTCTGTGAGGGAGATGAGATGCCCTTTCTGCAAATTCCTCCTCCTCCTGTTCACCCTGCGGTTTCTCCCTCTCTGAGACTAGCATTTGGGGGCTTTGAAACTTCTAGAATGAATATATCTCTGGGTCCAGGGGGAGTGGCTTCTCTTGCAGCTGAAAGTCCACATCCTTCCCTGGCTGATTGTCAGGCTTTAGTGAAAAGCAAGAGGCTGGAGGAGCAAGCGCCCGTTGTGTGCCAGGCGATTGTGTGGCCCATTTGAACAATGACTAGACTATTCAGGAATGGCAGGCCCAAGCCAGGGGTGGTGTTTGTCTGAAGCCAGGTGCTTGCTCTCTCTAGGCAGCTTTACTTCAAGCACATGCAATAAAAAGTGTGAGGATGTGAGTTGCCCGTGGAAGACAGGCGCTGGGCTCTAGGTCCCCCGTGGCAGGAACCGTGTTTCTCTGAGCTCCCTCAGGACAGGGATGTGGGTCAGGGCCTGCTGTTTTGCTGTCCCCACTGGGGACCACAATCTGACTTTTGGAAGAGGATGGCCAGGCGGGCTCTTACCTGGCGATCTTGTCCGTGCAGGACATGGTGACCAGCTGCTCCCCTAGAAGGATGCCGTCCCACGTCTGGACTGCACTGGGGCCCCGGACAGGGACTGTGCCTTCCCCAGACTCTATCTTGGTGCGCAGGTGCCCGCGGAACTTCCTGACGATGTGTTTGCTGCTGTTCACTAGGAAAGAAGAGGTGGTGGTGAGAGGTGGCAGGCACAGCCACCCAGAGACATGAGGGCTCTGTGGGCTGAGAGGGAAGCATGGCAGGCTGCATCCAAGGGTCTTGGCAGAGATTGAGTCCAAGAGGCAGGTTTTAGAAGTAACAGAAGCTGATGGTGGGGACATGGTAAAGAGATGGGCTTCACAGTACGGAGATTTCTCAGAAAACTTGGAATGGAATGACCATTTGACCCAGTTATCCCACTTTTTTGGTATACACTCAAGGGGCTTAAAATCAGCATACTACAATGATGCAGCCACATCAATGTTTATAGCAGCTCAACTCACAATAGCTAAACTAGGGAATCAACTTAGGTGCCCTTCAACTGATGAATGGATAAAGAAAATATGGTGCATATACACAATGGAATATTACTCAGCCATAAAGAGGAATGAAATTATGGCATTTGCTGGTAAATGGATGGAACTGGAGACTGTCATGCTAAGTGAAATAAGCTAATCCCCTAAAACCAAAGGCTGAACATTCTTTCTTATATATGGATGCTAACACACAATAAGGGGTGAGGGAAGGGAAGAATAGAAGTTCATTGGATTAGACAAAGAGGAATGAAAGGAAGGTAGGGGGGATGGGAATAGGAAAGACAGTAGCATGAATCAGACATAAATTTCCTGTGATCATAGATGAATACACAACTAGTATAATTCCATATCATGTTCAACCACAAAAATGGGATCCTAATTAGAATAAGTTATACTTTATGTGTGTATAATATGTCAAAATACACTCTACTGGCTGGGCTCGGTGGCACATGCCTGTAATGTCAGCAGCTCAGGAGGCTGAGGCAGGAGAATTGAGTGTTTAAAGACAGTCTCAGCAGAAATGAGGTACTAAGCAATCCAGTAAGACCAGGTCTCTAAATAAAGTACAAAATAAGGCTGGGGATGTAACTCAGTGGTTGAGTGCCCCTGAGTTCAAACCCGAGTACTCTCCCCTCCAAAAAAAAAAAAAAATCACTCTACTGTCATGTGTATCTAAAAAGAACAGCAACAACAAAAAGAGATGGGCTTCAGAGCAATGCTGCTAGCAAGGGTCAGCCACTGTCCTGTAAGGGCAGACAGCAAACATCTCAGAGACTAACACTATTCTGTCTCTGCCACCACCACCCAACTCTGCTACTAAGGTGCATAAAGTGCAGGCAGCCTTGGATCACACGCCATGAATGAGCATGGCTGTGTTTCCCAACATTTGATTTATGGGCACTGAAATTTGAACATATAATTATAACATCTGACTTTCACATCATGAAATACTGTTGACCCTCCATATCCACGGGTTCTACATCTCTGGATTCAACCAAGGTTCAAAAAAATCTGGAAAAAAAATCCTGACTGTACTGAACAGGCACAAGCATTTTCTCTTGTCATTGTTCCCTGAGCAACACAGTGTAACTGCCATTTACAAACCACGAGCACTGCATTAGGAGGGGTCAGTAATCTAGTGATGATTTAGAGCTGACATGAGGTTGTACAAAAATTAGACACAAACACAACATCATTTGATATAAGGAACTTGAGCATCCACAGATTTTGGTACCCATGGAGTGGGGGTCCTGGAACCAATCCCCCATGGTTACCAGGGGATGGCCATATTATTCCTTCCACTTTTTCCAGCCATTAAAAAATTGTGAGAATGTGCTTAGCTTTGGGGACATGTAGAAACAGGTGGTGAGCTATGTAAACTTGGAAAAGTGAATTACATTCTACAACGTGGTTACTTCCTCTTGCCATGGGGAGAGTCATATCACCTCGCTCCCGGGCCACGGGGATTAAACGAGGTGGCATGTGTCAGGGTGGGGTGTAGCTCAGAGCGCCTCAGTGTCTCTCGAGTGCCTCTTATTATGGAGGCCTCTATGGGGTAGGGACTTTTCTAGGCATAGAAATGACGAGCCTCAAGGTTCTGGGTTCTTATCCTTCCAGGGCCCTCTTGACACACATCCACCTTCATACGTTATACCACATCCTGATAGTTATTTGGAGAACCAGCAAGAACAAGAGAAGCCTTACACTGTTTTTTTTTTCTTTCTCTAGAAAATTCTGTATATAAGTCTAGGTTATTTTGTATGAGAGAAATGGTTAACTGCTTTGCACATTAAATATATATAAAAGAGCCCAGTGATTCCAACATTTACATACTTGTAGTGACATGAATAGATATTAGATGCTTTCTCTAAGAAGTTTCTATTGAAGTTTCAGAAGTTGTGTAGATGGAGTTTTCTCCTCATTTACTTGCACTAAAGTGGTGAATAGGTTTTTTTTTTTTTTGGTCTTGTCATTGTTCCCTGAGCAATGTCAAGACTTTTTTTTTTTTTTTTTTTAAATCAGACACACCAGAGTAATTTCCACTGCACTTTCTTATTAGTTCCAAGAGCTGAAGTTCTTACTTCATCGTACCTAGAGGCTATCTTTTGGGAAGAATCTCAAGAAGGGAGTCAACTTTTGAGAGGTTTCAAATCACTTTTTCATCCTGCAACCAACCAGTTACTTTGTGAGCTCCAGTTGGGATTTGTCTGGGAGTCATCTACAGAAGGAGGAGCCTAGGAGAAAAGTGCAGCCTGGGGAGACTCCTTCTATATGGCATTAAATGGCACTGGTGATCAGACGGTGAGGATGGTGGCAGTGAGTATGGAGGTGGCAATGGTGATGATAGTGGTGACAAGGATGGTGATGATAGTGGTGATGATGGTGATATTGGTGATGATGGTGAGGATAATGGTGATGATGGTGATTGTGATGATTGTAGTGATGGTGATAATGATGGTGATGGTGGCAATAATGGTGGTGATGGTGATTGTGATGATTGTGATGATGGTGATGATGATTGTGGTGATGGTGATAATGATGTGATGGTGGTAATAGTGGTGATGATGACAGTGACACAGTGATGATGACGGTGATGATGGTGACAATAATGGTGATGAGGGTGATGGTGATTGTGATGATGGTGATGGTTATGAGCATGATAATGATTGTGACAGTAACAATGACCACGATGGTGGTAAAGGTAATGCTGATGGTGCAGTGAGAACGATGGTGATGGTGATGAGGACAAATTGAATAGAAAGTGATTCACATGACTCAAAAATGCTTGCGTGCACCTTGGTTTAACCTGAACATCTACACGATCCAGGTGGGGTCTCAGTGGATTCTCTGTGGTGGACAGCATTGGAGATGGAGAAGCTGGTGCACCTCTCAGTTTCTACACTGTTACTTCAGAGGACGTGGTTCTTGATGTCTAATTCTGTAAATCATGGTGTCTTCACAGTCTCCTAATACTTCAATTACAGCATCATTTCCCAGACCTCAAAAGTTGCCTGTCATACTGCAAAGCCTTTCTGGCTTCTCACCGTCTTTAATGTCACGACGATAAGAGGCCTGGCTTGAATTAACAACTGGTTTCTGGGAGGAAACCCAGAATCTCAGGCTAGAGTCCCTCAAGAGCCAGGTGCACGAGCTTCCCGAGAGTGCTCATTCTGGGAGGAGTCACATCTCTGCCGCCTTCTGTAGCACACGCCCCCCACGGGCTCATTGGTCCCAGGGTGAGCGTCAGGGTTGGTGGACTTGGGGAGACAGTTCCCCTGCCTCTGTCTTGGCTAATGGTGAAAGGTAGGAGGGAGCCGAAGAAGCCACTTCAAGCAGAATGAAATGTCAATCCCCCAGCCACTGCTGGGGACTGAACTTAAACCACCTGTGGTGGATTGATGGTGTGCCCGGGACAGTGCAAGTGTGAAATGTCAACACCTTGCCTGTCATGCACACAGAGCTACTTTCAAATGCATCAGAACATTCTAGGCCAATTCTGATATTCCAAGTCATCAGACTCATCATTATAGTGCTTATTAGTCTAAAATTGTTATCTTTTGGGATTGACAAAGTAGATTAGTAATATGTTTTTAAGTTTTTTTCTTCAAGTGAATATTTTATGTTTAGGGGAGAATCTAAAGGAGGTGACAATAAAATGACAATTTAAGACATTGACCTCCAAGTGGAGTTATCTAAAAACAAACAAACAAAAAAAACCAAACATGGCATAGGGGCAGAGACAAAGCAAAACCAAAAAACAACCTCCCCCCAGCCGCAAAACCCCATAAAGTTATAAGAAAGAAAGAAAATACTTTTAAACATCAAATGAAAGATTTCCAGACTGTTTCCAAAAGCAATATTGCAGAAAATATATCTGTGAAGCAATCCACTACTTTTTGTAATAATAAAACCTGTAATAATTGCCACGTGGTCATGTAGGTGACCTTTGTCATCATTTGATGATGACGATGGTAGTGATGATGTCAAATTATGAGACTATTTAAATCCATTATCGTGCAATGAACAACTATTATATACTGCACATTTCCATAACTCAGTAGGATGTCTGAAGAAAGGAATTTAAGGAACTGTACTTTAGATTTCCTGACTTCCTACGGGATTTTGATTCACCCTCCTCATCTGCTCTTCTATAATGAGTGGAACTGGCTTGGCGTGAACATGCTAGGCACTTAGCATACCTTGGCAGATAAATGGAAGATGTAATCCTGCTCTTTTTCAAGGCATCTTGTGGGAGATAGTTTGGAAAATTTAATCTGTTAAATTTTTGGAAAATGGTCATAAGAACTGAATTTACTAGGTGATTTAAAAGTCATTCTAAGAGGGAAGAACGTTGCAGTGAGGGGATTGGTGATTTGGGAGGGGGACAAAATTTGCTCAGCCACAGTGAGGTGTCCTGGATCCTTCTAGTCTTACATTGAGGATCTTATAAGAACTGCTCGGCTCTAACTCAGGCCTCCGAGGTACTGAGAAATGGCATTGTGTCCTGTGAGTCTGGAGGGAATCTTGTCTCTCCTTGGTGGCAGTTGGTACCCCCAACCCTCAAGAGAAGTGTTCAGAGTCCTGATTCTGACCTTGTAAATAAAAACAAACAAAATCCCAAACAGCATAGTTCTCTTGGTTGTGCAAAGGAACATCTTTAGGCATTTTTCTCCACCTGGACTTATCGGCCCTCTAGGTCCAGGAGGAAGTCATAGCACTTAGCAATTTTGAATGGCCTGAGATTGAGAAGCTATGACTTGGGTGAGATCAAAGTCCTTAGTTTGCAGAAGCTGTCTCGGGAACAACTTTTCCTTTACAGTGCATGCAACACATCAGGAAAAGCCTTTTTCACCTGCCCACGCTGTTGCATGGTGGAGTCCTGCCACAGAGCTTTGTTAGCCTTTGCAGGTACTCTGCCATTCCATCCTTCCTCAAAGACCTCTCCACTAAGCCTGCAAGAAACAAACTTGACAGAAAACTTTCTTATTATGCTCTGTTCTGTGTCCCTTCAATTATTAAAGGGAAGGGGGAACAATCCAGACCACCTGTTCAAGCTCCTGAGCTTCTCTTAGACATAGTCAAGCCCTAGATAGTTTTTGATTTGGGTGCTTCAGAACCTGTTATCTTTAGTAGTGGTACTTTCCACAGGCCTACACATACTTGTGTGTACATACGTGTGCATGTATGTTTGTGCATCTGTGCTCATGCACATGAGCCAGAGAAGGAGAGGCAGGGGTGGGGGGATAATAGCCCAGCTGCAGGTCAACAGGACTCAAGGTTAGAGCTTCCTTTGCTTTGGCATGAGCTTCTTAGAGCCTGGATTAGGTACTCAGCAGAACTGTCAGAACCTGTCTGTGCTCTTCAGTTTCTGTGTCTGTGAGCATATGAAGCCACAGTGACAGCCAGGGGACAGTGTGGTTCCCAGGGCTTCATCTAGGAGTCTGGATCCCTCTGAGCAGTGGTGTGAGGCTGAGGGTTCTTCGGGTTAATCTGTAGGGTAGAAGGTGCTGGCTGCTAACTCCTCAGGGACTAGTCCTAACTGGAGTTTTCCCAGCGTCTGTGTGCAAGTCTTTCTGCAGGGGGCTTGCCACCAGTGACTGCCTCCCTGGCAGGAGCCCCTCAAAGCAAAGACCCCATCACTTACATTCCCTTCTCCAGTGGTCTAACCTCCTTAAAGGGTAGCAATGGAAAACACTGGGTGAGCCAGCAACATGGAGAGCTGCCCAACCCTCTTATTACAAAGCAGTTCTTAGTGAGTTTCTCTAAAGTGGAAATTGTGGAATTCGTTCCTGAGAGTTTCTGCTTGCCTCAGGAGCTGTGAGCAATGCTGAACTTAAAGACTCTTCCCGAACAGAGGAATGCAGGCATTTGGGTTTTCTTGTCTTTACTGAGCGAACAGGGAAGAACAACATGTGGCATCTGGCTAAGGGCCTGCCTTCTGCACCTGCCCCAGTGGGGACAGTCAGGAGGCAGCAACCTAATTTAGAGGCATAACCCAGGCAGTAGCAGCTCCTTTTGGCCTGGCATATCTACAGCAAAAGTGTGAGGAAAAAGCTTTAGTTTTTCTCCTAGCAGCACCTGCCACTTCTTAAAAGCACCATGAAATAAAAGACATCTGTGGCTGGAAGTGAACCCCAGGGTGCCTCCGAGAATGTATTTGTTTGTTTTTCTAAACCACTGGCATTGCAAGTTGGAATGAGGGCTGTGAGGCCACAGTCGGTGTTTGATGTACAGAGACACAGGAAGCTCAATGAGCTGGAACTGTCCCCCAGGGAGACCAGGAGATCTCAGGCGTGGTGGATGAAGTTCTTGCCATCCTCATTCAGCCCTCTCCTGACTCCACTGGGGACACATGGGCCACAGAAGAAGCTGAATAAATTAGAGCCAGCCGCAAATGTCTTATGAACTTTTCCTTCTACGATCTGAGGGCTTCCTATGTTGGATCTTCATGATGCCAAACCTTTTGATAAAAAGTGGAAAGATAATTCCTAGTAGCTGACTATTGGGATATGAACCAAATTTCACAATTTTACTTATAGAGCAAGTTGGTAATCATGTACATCCAGCATAATGGGCATTTCCCAGGGAAATAAATCAGCTCCATGTTGTTTTTCTGTCTGTCTCTTTCTGAAAGCTGCACAATAGTAAAGCCATGTCCTCTGTGGTCTCACCCAGCCTGTGCTGTGCCTGCTTCCTCTGAGAGGGCCCGGTGTCTTTTTCTCACATTGCCTAAGCCACCCCAGCCCTCTCAGCCTCCTGGGGACAGTTCCTTTAAAGTTCTCTGATATTTAATGGGTCACCTTTTCTTATTCTCAATTCCACTTGGTTCTCCCATTTGCTTTCCAAAGGATGTGGAAAGGTCACTTAGAATCTCATTATGAAGAATCCCACCCAACTACTCTCCAAAGGGGAACTGATGGGGCTGGAGGAGAGTCTGCAAAAGGAGAATGTATTTCTCTGGTCCAGCTTCCAGGCTGCAGGCTAGAGAAATAGGCTAAGCACATGTAGATTTTGGATACCTTCTCTCCCACTCTTTATCTTTAGTAGTGGTACTTTCCACAGGCCTACCACACGGCAGGTACTCAATAAATGTTTATTTTTCCTGAGTTTCGTAATTAGAATATGTAGCCTTCCATGCAAGGAAAACCAGAAGGCCAAAACCAAACCTTTGTGCATCATCCATTGAGTTTCTACTGGAAATTTCTTCTGACTATAGAATATACTTTTTATGTTTCAGTATCTTTCTTAGATCCCTCTTCACATACACTTTTTTTGTGCTTAAAATATTTTAAAAATTTTATATTATTTTCATATTTTATTTAGCTGGGATAAAAATGTTAACTGTGATTATATTGGGGTGGTAGGAATACATATATACATAATTAATTTCATTGCCTACATCAGGAGATTCTCCTAGGGCTGCTTCTAGAAAGAGTTTGGAAGAGTGTGGCCCAGTCATAGAATTTCATAAAAGCATTTAAGGGTGGAGATGTGAGCCCTGACACTTTCTCTAGAATGGAGATACCAGTGTCCCCACAGAGTGGAGCTATGCCTGTCCTCCAATGCTGAAACACAGTGTCCCCTCTCTTTGCAGATGATAGGAGGGGCAAAGGGCACATAATGTCCCTCTTCCACTGATGAGAACGGAGGGGCTGGTCCTGTGAAACTTTGAGGCTAACCTGGGGCAACCCTTTGGGAGGGCATCCCTCACCCTGACTTTGTTCCCAAAGTGGAACTTTATTCTCCTCAAAGTTGCAAACAAAGGAAAACAGAGCCAGTTTGAATTTGCTTTCCACCCCGTGTAATTCTCATTTGCCTTCTCCTTCATTCCATTTTCCAGTTTGGGACACAGGGACGGTGTGACCTATTAAAATGAAGCAGAGAACTATGGCAATTGAAAAGCTAATTTTAGGCTTCAAACTACTTTTCTGCCAATGATCTGGGCATTTCAGGCAAAGATTTTGGAGGTATGATTATCTAGCTAATTGCAGCTGAATCCTCTTCCAGCATCCCAGAGCAGTGGCCATCTCTCTCTCTCACACACACACACACACACACACACACACAGTCCGGGGCCAAGGCAGCCTGGGACAGAGTCCAGAAACAGGGAAGCCTGGCGCTGTTTGTTTACAAAAGGCAAATATGTTGTCTCTTACGGTCTGTGGTGATTTCATAGGGAGAGTTGAGTCTCGCATCTCCGCAGGGGGACGTGCTCACATAGAGATGGAAGAGAATATTTTCTCGAAGCCTGTAGCCTCCCTCCTTTAAACGCACAAATATCGATCGCTCCGAGTCCTCTCGTCGCTTGCTGGGGACAAGAAGAGGATCTGGGTCATTTATTACAAACCAAACCAGAAACATTCCAGCCAGGCCGAGGCTTTTGTCCTGTTTGGTAGAGTTGCTCCTATTTTTTTTTCTTCTCTGCACCCCACACTGTGTTTGCTCCTTGCACAGACCCTTCCGAGAGAGGCTGCGGGGAAACCACGTGAAAGCAAACAAGCTGCAGAAATCCCGCCATCCTCACTGTCTTAGCATTTACATTTCAGGTTTATCTTACGCAGAGGCAGCATCTACAGTTTATAAAGCCCTAATCCTGCAGGCTCACAAAGGCTCCTCTTGGCAATGTCTGGCAGGACTGTAGACTTGTTGGTCCTGGTGGGCAACACATGTGAGCATTAAAGGCAGAAAGGGATTTTAAAAAAGGGGGCTGGGGTTCGGCCCCCAGCAGGGCTAGATAGAAATGGCAACCAGGACAGACTCTTCCTGGGGTGCATCTGGACAAACCTAAACTGCCTCATCTTGGAGGAATTCTGGCTTGTTACTCCTGGAAACCTCTCCTGTAGCTTTTAAACTCTAATGTGAGAGGCCCCCTGCCTCCGCTGAGGTGGGGAGACCCCAGCCTGGGCACTGCATCAACGTGGCTGCATTTCTTCTCCTGGATTTTCTTCTCCCTGGTTTCTTGCAGCCTCCTTTCTGCCAGTCTGGCTGTTTTCACACGTTCTGCCCCATTGGTGATGGATTCTGTGTTGCTGGGCCCTAAGATCTCACAGGCAGCAGAACAGACATTTTCTCCCCAGGAAACTTGGGAGGCGCCTTACCAGCCTTCCTGCTGCTGTGCCTTTTACTCCTTGGCCACCACCCACCTTCCCTCTGCCCAAGTGAGCTCCTCCAGGGGTCCCGGGGACCAACGTGCCCAGTGTGCCAAGGGGCTCAAACCTCACTCCCTGTAGCTAGCTTTTCATAGCCATTACTGGTGCCCCCATGCAGGGCATGGATGGGAGACATTGTCTTTGAGCCCCCACCCCACAAGCTGGCAGCACAGTGCTGGGCATGCAGCCAGCTCCTGGCAGATCTTGGCCTGATTCCCTCCCACTACACAAACCGGAGGAAAGGGTACTTGGAAATATTTCCAACTGAGCAGTTGGATATTCAGGAGAAATCCTTTTCTGCATTTTGAGAGATTTCCAACTCTGTTCCCTTACATTCAACTCCAGCCGCGCCTGGGCGGGCCTCCTGGAACCGATGGGGCAATATATCAGGCTTCTGCGCACTGCTCAGAGGCTCAGATAAAAATTAATTGAGTGTATTAAGGTATTGCTTTTATTTGAGTCTGTTTGGCATATACTCGGGCCTTTCTTCCCTTTGTGTGGCTGCTGCACATGCTAATGGGCATGATGAGTCGCTCACAGAGCCCCCCTGAGATCCCATTATTAGTGGATTTGAGGAACACTGCTTCAAAGGCTATAGAAGGGCAGCTGGAGGATGCAAGGAAGGAACATTCTGGCAAAGAGACCCACAGCCATCAAACCCTGTGACCGAATAGCTCAGTGCAGGCATGCATCCGAGACATGCGCTCGGATCACCTGCATCTCTACTCCTGTTTAATGTGTCTTAGAGAGAGATGCCAGCCCAGGTGACAGTCTGCCTTTTCCTGATGAATGGAGAAGGCTGTCATGAGAACACTGAAAATTCCAACCTCCGAGCACATTTCTCGGGGTCTCAGAGGCCTCTCAGAATGCCCTTACTAAAATGCACTTGGAGGTGGAGTAATGAGACAGGTAACGTCTCAAAACCCGACCTTGGTTACTTTAGTCCCACTACCTGAGGGCAAGGTCTAGAGAACTGAACACATTTGGGAATGTGGGGGTGTAGGGAGAAATGAGGCCAGGAGAGGATGGCCTCACCCAGCAGGACAAGGGCTGGGAGGTTCTGTGCACCAACATGGGACTGGCCACCTTGTCATATGTAAGAGCTGCTTGCCTGGGACTTGTCCAGTGGAAATGGAGCCTGTCACCTGGGAAACAAAATGGTAGCCATCTGTGAGCCTAGTGTTTGAGCCTTGGCCACTCTTACAGAAACCTGGACTCTGTAAGAAATTTCCCTGGCTGAGAAATTTTAAAGATAAGATTGAGCAGGGAGGGGATGGCACTCCTTCCCATGGAAATCCTGCCCTGTGGGCCCCATTCAAGGTGGATACAATCTTGTCAAAAATGAGCAGAAAGGTGGCCTCCAACCTGGCACATTTCCATGGCTGAATTGAAAGTTTATCAGCAGGCACATTGATCCAAGTCACCTCACACAGTAAGGGAACACACCTTTAGTTTAGTCAATACAGCTATGGGTTTTAGAGAGAGGAATACCTCCCATCTCCCAAGAGATAGTGAATTCATTCTTTCCCTTTGTTTTTTCCTTCCTTCCTTCCTCCTTCCTTCCTTCCTTCCTTCCTTCCTTCCTTCCTTCCTTCCATGCTCATTCTGGACCTAACTGGAAGCTGGTGGTGGAAAGAGTATTGCCTTCAATTAAAAGCAGTTAAGGGCACATATGAAGCCAGCACTGGGGGTCTCCTCTGTGCTCCTCTAGCTGTCCCTAGAGCTGGATCCTGTCTTGATGCCATTGGCATTTAGAGTCCCAGCATGTCACTGGAGAAACACCTTCACTGAACGTGGACTGCATGTGAGATGAAGCCATGGCTGTGTCTGTGGCTTCCTGGACTGTAGTGGCATCCGAGCCTCATGAAGAAGGTTGAGTTTTGGGGACATTGTGATGAGCCCCTGCATGTTTTAAAAGAAATAATCAAATGGAATGAGCTGTGACAGGGCGTGTCCCTGAGTGTGTCCATGTGGGGGCAGCTGTGTGGAAGTATGTGTGTATGCAACTCGTAGGCAAACAGGTTTCCTGGGGAGCGACACGGAGTAACGAGGAAGGGACCTGGTGTCTCAGCATCTTGCTGGTGCTCAAAGGGTACCTCAGGTCTGAATAGAAGGGGACGATTCGTGGAGCACCCTGGGAAGGAATCTGCCAGGATGAAGGGAGCAGTGTGTTCTGAGCTGGTTTTGGGTCCCCCTTCTGTTCCCCTGGCTGCTTACCAGCAGTGGTGTGCCAACACACCCATCAAGGAGCAGCCAGCCCCTGGAGTCCGACCAGCCCAGCCAGGGCCCCGTACCTCAGGTGCAGCTCCAGCTGTGCGTACAGGAAGTGAAGGAAGGCCCTCCTGGCCACGATCTCCGCATGGCAGTCATTGACCACCAGGCCCTGGTCGCTGATGTGCTCGCCACTGATGCACTTGGTGCCAGAGGACAGGACGATGACCTGTGCCTGCCTGGTGTCCAAGCCTGGGGGACACAGAGAGTGGTCAGAACAGCCTGGACTTCACAGGGAGACCCGCTGCAGGTGACTTTGCCCACTGTCCCATTAGCAGCAGCCTCGATGTTTACCAGGCTGGCATGCAGAGAAGGTTTGCTATGTCATGGGGTTTGTGTGAGTGACAGAAGGTGCCTCCTGCGAGATCTCACCTCATCCCTGTGTAGCTTTCATGCTGCATCCCCGGAAAGCAGCTGGGCTCACAGTTTTCACTCTGAGATGTCTACTGGCCTCTGAAGCCAAGATCAGCATGGTCGCCCTTGAGATTTTTCCAAATGGCTGCATATGAGCTGCTGATAATTTATCTCATGGGAAATGGGAAGCTTGAAGCTCTCCCACTTTTGTGTAGGAGAGCCTTGGGGAAAGATGGGCATGACGGAGATAGGATGGTGACCTGCCACTAAAGAAATGACACAGGGCCAGCCCAGTCTGAAGCAGGAGGCAGCTGGGCAGCTGTGAGATTCCAAGGGAAGAGCAAAGTGCCCACAGCCCTGTGTGCCAATCACTTGCTCTACCCCAGAAATTCTGCCACCTGCCCTGCCCTCCATATCAACAACTGCATCTTCACCCACAGGTGAGTTAACGGGCATGTGCTGTGTTTGGGAGTGGGTGAAGGCAAAGGAAGGGTCCTGAGCCCGTCCCCACCCTGCAGACCCCTCAATTTGTCATGCCCATGGTGTAGGGGGAGACAAGGTACAAGCCTGAGGCCGGCCTGCCCTTGTTCCTCCTTCCTGTAGGAGAGCATGGCTGCCTCTCAGAACACAGGAGCCAGGTGAGCCGCTGAGCCAGGTCCCCTGTACCTTCCACTCCAAACATGCCCCTCTCTCTAAGTCCTCCAGGGCCCATCCATTTTGTTCTCAGAATGTAGTCCCATGCGCTGTGGAGACACCTGTCTTTCCCATTCTCTGACCTTAACAGAGGTTTGCCCTGCAATTCTGGAAAATTCTAACACCGTTGAAGTCAAGGCCCAGTGGCTTGGAACAATAGGGGATGTGTGGTGGGACAGGATGCAGCCTGTGGTTTAAGAGAAAAGCAGAACCCGGCTCAGGGGCCATGGCACAGGCCAGCAGGGCTGGGAGGCATTTGAAGTGCCCCTCCAGCACCACAGCTCACAGGCTGGTGCCCCTGTGTATTTCTGTGCAGGGATAGGCATCTCAGCAGCATTGAGGGCACAGCACAGTAGACTGAGGGCTTGTGGTGGCTGCAATAGTCACACACCCAGGTCAGTGCACTTGGTAGGCCTGGGGCAGGAGTCTTGTGCTATACCTATGGCAGATGCCCAGGGTCCAGGCTTGGCTCTGACCTCATAGTTTAGGAAAAACACATCTATGTGACATTTTGTACTTCCTGAAACTTATGCCTAAAAACAATGTTGTAAATCAATAACATCAGGAAAGATTGAGGTTCCCGCTTCCAGACCACATAGCTCCCACTTACTAGCCCTGAGAAGCCAGGGCACGGCTGGCAGGCAGCAGGAAGCTGGCAGCCAGATCTCCCCTCATTCCCTTCCCATTTCTGAGAGGCCATGGTCCCTTATCTCCTCCATGGGGTGCACAGGGACAGGCCAGCCTCCTGCAGCCCTGAACCATTTTCCTCCTTCCTGGTCTTTTCCAGGAATCACAATGCAGCTGATCCTTAGAGCTTAGGAAACCTTGAAAACCAGGCACTTTCATGATTTGGTTTCTAGAACTATGAAAGTACTTTGGCTTGCTTCTGGTCATATGCAACTCACTGAGAGATTCTGGCGACTCTCTGAGGACAGCCAGGGACAAACTCACTAAGTGCCTCAAGTTGTTACTATTATCTAAATGCTATTTGTAAGCCATAAGAGCAGAGATTTGGAGCACAAACTTATCAAGGGGCCAATTTTCTTTATCTCCCTGAGTCCCGGATTCCCACTCACAGAATGTGGTGCTGCCGAGATGCTCCCCTCCCCACCCCTCATAATGGGCTCTGCATTTTTACCTTTTCCCTTGATAGGACCAACTTTCAGGACAGCAGCTGGTAATTTGTTTATACTAACATGAAAAGGCATGGGATCCTTCATGATTTCCTTTTCATAGGATAATGTTCATTTCAAATCATAAACAAAGGAATCTTGCCAATGAAATGGTTTCTCTGCATTGATCGAAACCCAAAGAACCTTAAAAAACAACTTTCAAACTTCTTTTTCTTTAAACTATGATATTGATTACTTTTGTTCAAGACCCTAGAAAACCTCAAGTCAAAGTTGATTCTTTCTCCTGCTCTAATCAATCCATGTGTGAATGTGTATTTTCTCTTCACTTAGGGTAAATTGCTTGAGGGTAGTAGCTGAAATTTCCCCAGAATATTTTAAGAAGGAGCTCCCCAGGAGTCTGGGCAATTATATAGATTGCCGGGCACAAACCAGTCAATGTTACTGACTCAAAAACAAATCTGATTTTCCAGGCACTACAACCGCATGTTGAGGGATGGTGTCATACCATACACTGAGCAAACTGCTGTTGGCTGGGTTCTAGATTCTATGCGGTGAGTCGTCAGTACAGAGTAGTGGTTTAGCAGCTGATTTCTCTGGTAAATGTGAACCATTTTTTTTTTTTACAAAGATGATATGTAAATTGAGGGCACACCAGAGCAGACTTTTCATTTTTAATAAGAATTACTTCCTCCGATGCAAATAGTGCTGAGCATTTCAGAAGTTCTTTATATGTTCTTGTTCCTCAGACTTGAAATGTTCTCCTTTGAGAACTTAATTCTAACCCTCAAATAACATCTGCCCTCTCCTGCCCTACACACAGTTTGGATCTTCCTTTGTGACATGATAAGAGAGACAGAAAGGAAGATAAGGGATGAAGATCAGAGGAGAGAATGAGGAAGAGAGGCAGGGAGGTGCAGGCAAACATCTACTCCCTTGGTTGCCATCAATGGAGGGTTGGTCCGCCATATGCATTCAGTGAGCCTCCATGGTGGCTGGTGGAGCAACATTCTCCTGCTTCTGGAGAGCTCTGGCAGCTGGGCTAACTGTCCATTTTCCTTCCCCACTTAACAAGGCTACCCTGCACACTGCTGCCTCCTACCCATTAATTCATTGCTCTCCTTCTGGCTTCTCTTGGTAATCTCCATTTCTGAAAAGGACTCAGGAGTTGGGTTGGGCCATCCTTGTCCTGTGTCCCTCTTGATGGTGGATTTGGCTTCTTGGTGATCTCACAAAGCAACTGGACATGTTAGTCACAGTTATACTGCTTTGATAAAAGCAAAGATAGAAGTCAACTAAACTCCTGTGTTGTCTTCCCCAGGAAAAGTTTAATAGCAGATGCAGTATGGCTGCTGCCCACCCCCTAAGTTCTGGCAGCCTTGTGGCTCAGCCATTTACTGGCTTACCTCCTGGCTGTGGGGCCCGAGACCGTGCTGACAATGGTTTGTCAGCAGGACCTAAAGCTTCTGATAAGGGGGACCAGCCAGCTGCTCACTCAGGTGCCTGGGAGCCATTTTCTATGTGGACCATTTTAAAGTGTCACGTGGACAGTTATGAAACAGTTAATGAGGAGCCACCTTGATGGAGATATCATTTTTGCAGACTCCAGCTTCATTAAAGCAGGTGTTCAGAGCAGTGGGAAATAAAATCTCTAATCATTTCTTCCTGTGTTTCAGTGATGGGGGGACACACGTAGCCCAGCTTAGAAACAGGCAACTCTTTGAAACAGGTACAGTTGCTCTTGAGGTCCTGGCCTGGTTCTCCTCTCTTGATGCCATGGAGATTATAGCTGTAGAAAAAATAAACTGCTTTCCTTTCACCCCTCATTAATTCTCAACCCTGCTTGACTCCAGGCTCTGTCATCTTCAGTACAATTATGTGGCTCAAGAAATGCATTATTTGCTTATTCACTTTTCATTAACCCCACTTCCTCTGCGCCATCACCATGCTAACTAACACGGGAGAGACCAGGTATTTAAGATGTGGTCCTATCCTGTGGCATCTACTTAGGGACATGATGCAGAGACAGAAATGTGTACAAAATAAGATATTGTGTGATGAATATCACTTAAGTGCTACACACAGAATGTCACTAGCATCGACACAGAGGCAGACAGACAGAAAGAAGACACACAGAGATTGCTATTTAGATAGATTTTGGAAATTTGGTGTGTGGCATGTGGTATAGGAAGAGGCACCTGAGGTGGAGTGACGATATCATCCAAAGTTGTGGATGGAGAAAGGCACAGGTGTACTTTTGGGGACAATGAAGTCTGTTTTGGTACCAGTGGGAGATTTGTTCAGAACAGTGGTGGTGGTTCAGCTTCAAAGTTAGGTAGAAATTGATTGCGGAGGGTCGTGAATGCCACCCTGAAGATGTTGCATCTCATGCAAAGGGCATGGGTAGTTGTTAACTGGGACTTTGAGCAGGACAGTGACATTGTTATCAGTGAGAGGATGAGTGGAGGGAGATGCCATAGTAGGAGATGAGAGGGGTTGTTGCAATGGTTTAGAGTCTGCACATTGTACAATGAGGACTTGGAAATTCAGGCCCGAATGGGCAGGGTGGAGGCAGTCAGAGAGATGACCCTGAGGACTGAATTAATAGAGAGCGAGAGCGAGAGAGAGAGAGAGAGAGAGAGAGAGAGAGAGAGAGAGAGAGAGAGTCAAAATAAATGCTTAAGAATTACATGTTAAAAATAAAAACTTTAAAAATTTTTTATGAAGAACGGCCAAATTCAATGCCGACAGTCTTAATTTGGGTGAGAGGAGAAGGCAGACATTGCTCATTATTGTTCCCCTCAAAGCCCATGGAGAGTGACTTGATGGCACTATCAATTTTATGAGTTGGAAAATAGAACTTGGCAGTGATAGAAAAATATAAGCAAAAAAGTATTAGGAACAAAGTCTTTATTAACTAGCATTTAAGTAGGTGATTTTTCCCTTTCACTCTCCCATCCTACAATTCTAGTGTGAAAATATGAAATTTTCATGGGGGGGCCCACAAATATCATA